TTCGTTTACCAAATTTTTCTGATAATGAAGCAAAAAATTGGTTTTATAATTCAACATATTATAAAATAAATTCTAAAAAATGTCCACACAATTCTTGTGAACAAAATGGAGTTTTATTTAATGGTATAAAAGAACATCTTTCAGTTAAAACAGCATTTATTAAAAATGGTCTTTATTTAAATGATGATTGTGGTTATAATTATGGAGATACAAATATTAGAAGAACATTTAAATATGATAATGAAGCAACAGTTATTTATGATAAAGCAATTCTTTATACAGTTCCTGATGGATGGGCTTTTCAACATTTTGCTGATGGTGTTGCACCAAAATTATCTCATTCACGATCTTATTTAGATAAATATCCAGATGCTAAAATAATACTGTCAAGAGGTCCTCGATTTGATCGATCTGTCAAAGAAATTTGGTCAATGCTTGGTTAGATTTCATTTTTTCAAATTATTCTAAATAAAAACAAAAACAAAAGCAACATTCTATTTTTTAGGAGTTGAAGAATCTTCACGAATAATTCATTATACAGAAAATATGAAAGTTGGCGCTCGTCTATTAATAAATCCATGTCGTACTCCTGGTATTCATCCTCGTTTATGGCATGATGCACGTGAAATGTATTGGTCAATATCAAATATATCAAAATCATTAAATGAAAATAAACGAATTAATTTTATTTATATGCAACGTACACCATCAAATGTAAATAATGGAGGTCGACTTATTTTAAATGAACAACCATTTATTGATTTATTAAAAGAATATTGTTTAAAAAATTCTTTAAATTATATTCAATATGATCATTCAAAAAATTTGAAAAATGTAAAACATCATATTGAACTTTTTTATAATGCTCGATATATAATTGGTGTTCATGGTGGTGCCTTAGTAAATATGAATTTTGCTCAATCAGGAACAACAATTATTGAAATAGTGGCTTTTAGATCAAGTACAAGTTATCTTCCAATGACTTGTTCAATGTTTAATCCTGAAGATTTAAAAGCATGTGTTGGTTATATGATATACACTCAATCTCAATTACTTAATCAAACTTATTGGATGCTACCTACTGTTGTTAATAATCAAGGAAATATGAATGTAGATTTAAATAGAGTGAAAAATCTTCTTCAACAAATTTAATTCATTTTTCTTTGATTTCATTTATAAAACAATAAATATTCATTTTATTTATTTTGATCAATAAAAATTTTGTTGTTTTTTTTAAATAATAATTATCGTCGTTTATTTGCATGGTTAATAGGAGGTCGTTTTGCACGAACATTATCAGAATCCGATGATTTATCATCATCGGATGAACTTTCTTCGTCACTTGAATTAGCTAAAAAAAAAAAGAATATTTTTTTGTTTGTTTTAATTTAAATATTGAAATTAATATTATATGAAAAAACAAAGATCCTACTTGTTTCATCGGACTCTTTTCTATTATTTTTTGTATTCACAGTTGATGATGATGATGGTTTAGTAATAGTTGATATTCCTGATTTCGAAATCGGTGTATTTATTTGAGATCGTGTTTGAGCTGAAGTAATGCCAGACAGTGGTGTTGCTTGTGTTACTCTTGTTGTTGAACGTGAAGTTTGTGTT